AGAGATGTGTATAAGAAACAGTATTATAAAAAATTGTTATATTATCTAATAGAATAAGGTACTTTCTACTGGACCCGGACCGGACCGAAACCAAAACTGATAACCGAATCAAAATCGTTATTTTAGTCGGACCGAAATATTATGCAGGTTAATGGACCGAACCCATAACCGAACCAAAAAAATTTTTTTTCGGTATTCGGTTCATTTTTCAGTTCGGTTTTCGGTTCGGAAAAAGATACACAGTAGCTATACTTCCATCTTTCTTTCTAATAAAATTTCACGCCTCGCTTGTTCTATAATTCATACTATATCTATGGAATATCCCTACTTTATGTCCGGATTGAAATCTTAGAAAGCTACAATTAAAAGCAGAAGAGAATCTCAAGAAAAACTAATATCTTGGAATTCTGACAAGAAAAAGTATGATCCAATCAGAGTTGTCTAAATTAATTAGCGATAGTCGTTCTGACGGTACCAGCCACGCAAGTAAGTGTCGAATGGCTGTTCTCAGGGTTAAAATTCGTGCTATTCTCGCTAAGAATGAACATCGAATGAAATAATTCTGGAGAATCAACTATTGATTAAAGCAAAACCGAATTTTCATCAACAAAGATTTTGTTCAATAGAGATAAATTTTTTATAATTAGCAACTAATAAACAACTTATATTTGTATTACTTTTTTTATGCATAATACTTATCTTTTATCAATTTTACAATAAGTAATTATATGTACACCCGTAACCGTAACCATAACCGAAAAAGACCGAAATCCAAACGGTTACGGTCACCATCCGCAAAAGAATGGAAACCGAAACCGAAATCGAAAATTGGGTATAGCCGCGGATCGTAACCGTAACCAAACTGAAATTTTTTTCTGAAACCTGCTTTCTAGTATGTATTTATGTTTTCAAAGTCTTATTTTTAACTTTTGTTCACGAAATATAATCCGAAAACGAAGTATAGTATAATGGTATCGGTAGCCTTCCTCTATTATTACAGCATTATTTTAAAGTTTCAAGATAGTGTTTCGCTTCTATCAATTTTTTTATCCAAGGAATAAAATGAACTTCATAAATAAATTTGAGAGCGCCTCACGGCTGATCTTGGTGTCTAATAATATTTCTACATGAATTTTTAAATCCATTATTCACAATCAGTCAATTGAACTGAATTGAAGATGGAATAGTAAGATCACAATTGATCTTCATTTCTTGTAATAATCCGATACGAATAAGCACGTCTTAAAACGCTGCAAAAAAAAATTAAAATTGAACTTGTTACATACCTGCAATAGGAGCTGCAGTCTTGTATGTGAGTCATAGCCCTTCTTCTTTCTGATTATTAAAAAAATATCTCCAATGTCGGGGCAACTTAGTAGTAATTTGGAAATTAAAACCTTTCCCATAAATCCAGTACCGCCAGTGATAAGAACGTTTTTATTGGCAAACCATTCGGGTATCGATTTTGTAATCATTTTTTTTTAAATAACTGCAAGATAAACCAAAAATATTTGTTAAAAGAAAGAGAGAGAGAGAGAGAGAGAAATCTATAAGAATCTGTGATAGATTGTTTCTTTGAAACTATGGTGTTTATAATTCTAGTTTAAAAATTAAATTGTGTATCTAATAAAAAAAAACTCGTCCATTATTTATAAATTATCTATTTACAACTATCAAAAAAGATTTAAAGTTTAGTATAAACACATAAGATCTAATAAACTACGTTAAACTTCGATTGTATTAATATTTTAATAATAATAACCTCAGACAGCACACAGAGAGTTAAAAAAAGTTACATGTAATGTAATGTCAGAACTCCGAGAAAACGAATTCTTTTTGCACCTGAAAATTAACTCGACAAGCAGAAGACGGCATACGACTGAATCCTTCTTGAACTTTCTGTCATGTGTTATCTGAGAACAGCATACCTTCTCTTACAGACACTCCTTTTTATCAAGTATCTTATTCATTGCAGTCTTTTAAAATCAATAAAATATTTTCTTTTGTAATTAATAGGCGGTCGGAAGCACGTAAAATATGTATAATGCAATTTTTTGTTTTGTTCACAATTATTATCGTATGTAAATTTATTATATAATTAAATTAGAAGAAAACGTAATTATTTCAGAACACAATGAAAAAAGGAAACAAAATGAAGAAAAAGTATAGAAACTACAACGTCATCTGCATGCTTGTCATTCTACAGATTCGAAAAATTATACTTTTTAATTCTATATGTATATGCATATGTGTATGTCAATGTGTTTAGTTTAAGTATTTACACTCAGTTATTTTTTAAATAATAGATAATAGTCACATAAAAAATTTTTTGAATAGAAAAAGTTTATTGTTTTTCCGCTCATAAAAGCTTAAGTAACATTATTTTATGAATGGTTACCAAAAATCATATCATCTGTATTGCACATTATTAAATTTGTCATAAAACATTTTATGAAGCCAATAAAATATCGTTTTATTAAAAAAGAATAAAACTGTCAACATTAAATAAAATAATTTAAAACTTTTATTCAAGTCATTATACAGTATAGAGTTTTTTAAATGAAATATAATTTATTCAAAAAATCTTTAATTTTATTATTTTAAAAAATTACTAAATGTATAATATTACATACTGTAATGTAATATTATATACTTAAATCAAATACATTGTATGTATGTATATAATAGATCGAATTCGAAATAAATGGTCTTTTTATGTTTCAAAAAATGTATTTCATCTAAAATATTTAAACAATAAAAGATAAATAATATTTTAAAGATGTATCATATTATAATATAATATTGTTATATCATAAGATATATATTATAATATTTTATATATATATATATATATATATATATATATAACATAATAATATTATTTAAAAAATATTATAGGTTAAAATAATATTATAGGTTTAATAGATACCTTAAAATTGCACCAAATATTTTAATAAAACTATTCAGAAAATGTAACGATGTACGGTCGTTTGAACGGATATCGCACACTTATCGCGCTATTGAGAAATAGATCGCGCACACTAAAGAACTAGTGGTTAACTGGAAAAGTCACTTGAAAAAATCTCGTCTTATCGTTCCATGTCGTAGGGACTGTCAGAACGGACTGAATGCAGATACGTCGTCGGCGTCGGCTTTATCCCTGTTACACACGGCTGACCGCACGGTCATTCCCGGGAGCCTTTCTTGATTTCGCCTTCGTCCAGTGCCAGTGTCCGGTAGACGAAGGCTCGAGGGCGGTAGCGAGTTCTCAAGGTCTCGGCATTCTCTCTTACTTTCCCCCCTCATGTAGCGATGGAACCGAGCGAATCGGCTCTCCTGAGTCGCGTTAGGCCGCGATTTCATTTTTGTTCACGTATCAAATTTGCATATCTGACGTTAATTCCCACAACTCCGAAGTACCGTATAAATCCACGTTCGCGGTTCACTGCAACGCTGCGTGAACCGCGTACATTCATTCACTCATATACAGGAACGAGTGATTTGGATTCTGTCCGAGATTCACGATATCGCTATACATGACGCGGGTATAAAAGGAACATTGAACCGCCGCGGGACTTCCCAATGATTCCGCGACCTTGCGCGGTACTTGGAACACGGATGGTGGTTAAGATCGATTCATCGCTTTTGCGGTACGGAAAAAATTTCTTGTAAAATTTCCGTTACTTGATTCATTACATTTAACGAAGAAATAAACCCAAGTGGAAACGTCCCTCCTCTCATTAACGAGTTTTGTGCGTTGCAATATATGTAGATATAAATTATTTTTAGAGTACTTCTTTGTAAGTTTACTCTAAGGAATATCAAGCGAATAAAATATGAAAGGCTTTGAATTAAATGGTCTTTTTATGTTTCAAAAAATGTATTTTATCTAAAATATTTAAACGATAAAAGATAAAAAATATCTTAGAGATATTTTTATAATTTTAAGTGCACTTTATAATCGTGTATTTAAATTTTTTGGAAATGTTATATATTTTTTAAAACTATCGCTTTTTATTGTTTTTAAAAACATTGAAATGTTTTTATAATTAAATTATAAAATTTAATTGACAAATTCAACCATATATAACAAAATTGTCTGAAAATGCATTTTTGAAAAATGATCTTATAAAAATCTTTAAAAATATCTTTATAAACCGCGCGTTCACGTAATATTAAAGATTACTTTATTAGTCAATTCTTAATTTATTGTAAAATCAATATAACATCAGAAATTTTTGCTGATTATAGATTCTTTATATTCTCTATTACTATCTTATTATTTAGAAGGAAATCCGATTGAGCATACTAGTACACACTGATGCATATTAAAGTCGTTGTACACACTGATCTAATTTAAAAGATGTAAGAATGAAATGCAAATATTTCGAATAAAATACATATTTCATCAAACAGCGTAATAAAGTGTATTGAGGATTTTGCGGTTTAATTTGTTTCTATATTTATGAACCCTTATTTCAATTTGTGCATGATGCAGGCTTCAATGCGTACAACCAAATTCGCTATACTCCTTAAATATTTACTATATTTGAAAAGAGATAGTTAAATATGCATTTAGGTGTAGAAAGAGAAAGAACAAGAAACTCGAAAATGTATAATATGTATCTAAGTGTAAATAAAAGGCACGAATATGTTACATCAGGAATTATGTCCCAGAAAACAATCAGCTGATATTATTTCAGTGGCAGATCCAGAGAGTGTTCTGGGGGGGAGGGGCGGTATAACGAAATGTGAATATTTAGTTATTATTGTCGTTAATGTTATTTTTAATATTTTTTATTATTTAAAAAAAATTGAGTAAACATTATTTAGTCTCGAATAATTTTTTTTCTCAATTCATTTTAAATCGACTTTTTCCAATATATATAAGTATACGAAATTTGAAGACTGATGGAAATTATTGAAGACTAATGGAGCATAAAGCGCAAAGGAAATAATAAATGCGCTGACCTACATAACAGTGTTTACTGCTATGTTATCTATATAAACTTGCGTTCCTTATTCATGTAAATGGAAGCAATCATGACATTGTGTGAACGGAAATTCATTGGCGGATACGTAATAAAGGATATATAACTGGTTTACAGGTAATATAATGTTAATTATTTACGGTCATATGTGTAATATTGTCCGGCCAAAGTAGAAACTAGTTTAATATTCTAATTAAATGTTTAAAAATGTATAAAAAATTATAATCAATTGTAAATATGTTACAGATAATTATTATATATATATTTAGGAGTGTGAGTTAGTGAGTTATGAGGGTTTTTTTTCTCAAAAACTGATTTATTATACGAATACCTTAATGACCTCAAATAAAATATTTTTCTTCGTTTTCTATAACTCTTTCTGTCAAGAGATAGATTCCGCGACGATAAAAAGATTCTTCTGTGGATTTGATCCAATTTTCTCAAATTTTTGCACTGTCCGATGAATGTACTCAGGATAAAGTAAAACATCCCAGTCAAGACTAATTCGTTCCGGATGGTCAGTGACATCATGGAGTCTGATGTTGCGGTGAAAGACAACTGCACTCCTGCAATTTGCCAATTTTGGACGTTTTGTGCGGATTGCTTGGTTCAATTTTGTTAACTGCGAACAATATATCGGTCGAATCAAATTTTTCCTGACGTTGACAATGCGCCCCGAACTATTATTGACAGTAACAGCTTGTAGTAAATGATACCCTTGAATTCCACCATACGGAGAATATGATCTTCTTTGGAAGCAATCTCGCCTTCGAGGTTGTTTGCGGCGGCTGCTGTACCTTTATGTTCATTTGCGTACTACGTTATCGTAGATGATCCCTTTTTTCATCGCCCGTCACCATTCGCTTCAAAAAAGGGGTTGTTTTCTTGCCGTTTTTGCAGCGAATTGCAAGATGGATATGCGAGTGGCCAAGTTGCTTCGCGCGATTCATTCATGTTGCAGCCAACATTATTGAGCCGATAAACGTATCCCAGCTGGCGCAAATGATTTTCTACGATTATATGGGATATTCAGTGCCGTAGCAATCTCTTGCACCGTTCGGAATGAATTTTTAACGATGGATAGTCTTGACATCATTTGAATCAATTTTGGTCGGAGCAGGGTGCATCGACATCAAAATCTCCAGAACGGAATTTGACAAACCACTTTTAGCATACGCGTTCAGTTAATCATTCTCACTAGACGAGCACAATAATTTCTAAAGTATTTATTTCTAATTTCTAGCTTGAAATCTCTACTTTACAAATAGATACTTTAGAAAACGGTCCTACTGATCTTTCATAGAATTAAACTGATAGAAAAGCAGACCCGACAAATCTCAAAATTTTTTACAAACTTTGACAAATTTCATGGCGCGAATTAAAAATCGCGTGCAAATGCAGTTTACTGCTTTCGAAGGAGTGAATCTTTACCTTTAATTTGCTTTTTTGTTGAGCGTTGTACGATTTTTTTTTCACCAAATTATTTAACATTAAAGCAAAAAGGACCATTTTTGCAAAAGAACCAAAATGGACGAAAAAATAGGTTTTTTTGCCATCATTCTTTGCCAATATTGTGCTCGTCTAGTGAGAATGATTAACTGAACGCGCTGTAAAATGCTTTTTTGAACATCTCGATACGATCATTTTTGACGAAGTTACACTCTCTTGAATTTTGCCTATTTTTGGAGGGTAGAATAAGTGATGCTTTAATTTTGTTGAGAAGTATATATATACATATATATATATATATATATACATATATTATAAATTATATTCTCAATATTACCAATGAACTTCAACCACGCATTTTTCCTTATGCAATACATCCTGGAAATCATCACTTTCACTCCCTTGTATCTCCACAACCGTGCTTATGCTCATCTTGAAATTTTACTGGGATTAATGTTTCATCTAATAGTATTATTTACCATAAAAAAAGTTTGAAATTCGAGGTCCAAAAAATGGGCAAAATTTGCCATCATTCTTTATTGGCGCAATATATTGGACCAATGTATTTCCAATGTACATTTATATTAAAAATACATTGGTCCAATATTGCGCTAATAAAATTGTCAATATTGTACTACTGTAGGAGCATATATTTTTATAAGCCTCTGCAGCTTGTTTGCCTTTTTTTAAGTAATAGAGTAAAATATGACGATAATACACGTTTTATTTACTTCCATTTTCACAGCTACGCAGCACGCACAGTATACGATGTTAGCTCTTAGAACATATATTACTTAAAACAGTAGTATATGTTCTAAGTGTTAGTTACAGTAAAATTCACAGACAAGTTATTGAAATATAACCTTTAAAATGCGCAATATTCGAGTTGAGTGATAGCGCCGAGAAAAAAAAAGAGTCGGAATGAACTCTTATGCATCGAGGCAAAAAGCAAATGAACTTACCAATCTGTTTTTACAAGGGCTTATAGAACTAAAGATTAATACATTTTTACTTAGAATTCAACGTTCTAGGCTTTCGAATTTTAACACAAAAAAATACAACATGCCGTTTAAAACAATGAAATTGATTTTCATATATCCGAAGTGCAGCCATTTACAGAAAAGAAATATATACTATATAACGTGCCCCTCGAAACTATGTAACTTTTTCAGCAAACACAAATTATAACAGCAATGTTGCAGCAACATTGTAACATTCCGACTATATTGCAGAAATGTTATAATGTTGCTGCAATATTGCAGTTTTAATTTGTGTTTATTGAGTTATAATCATTTTTTATAAAACATGTTTATTTAGAAATTGTTTACAAGATATACAAATTAAGTGCTCTATTCTTATATTTCTTTGAATTCAATAACAATTGCCATTTGTTTTAAGAAAAAATAGTCATTTTATACGATGTACAGATATATATCAGGAATTTTTAAAACATTTATCATATTTATCAACTTTATTTAAAATATGAAAATTTACCTACAAATTCTAGCTGTAATAAAAATTAAAATAAAAAAAATGTACGTATATAAGAACTTTATTAATATAAGAAAAACAATAAAAATATAAATATAAAAAAAAATATAAGCAGTAGAAGAGTAATAATAGAAGATAATAATATTATTAATAGTATAAAGCTTACTATACTAAAAATAACATAGTGGCTAATAATTATAACAAATCAAATCGGTAAAATAAAAGGCCTAAAATAAATGAGCCTAAGCAGGACGTTTAATCCTCCATAATTATAATGATTAATCGAATGTAACAACCCAGATAACATAAAATCAAAATAGAGACATTTAAAGATGTCTTAAAAAATAAAAACACTTTAAAGACATCTTTGCGAGAAACGTCTAGAAGACATCTTAAAGGCAAATGATAATAATTAAACGAACATAAAACAGAAGTCTAAAGCAAATAAATACAAATTTTAAATCCGTAAATTGCTCTTACAGACAAGAACAATCATTGCTAATCATAGAAATCTTTTAGCATACCTGTATTTTCTTACTAATCTGCAGCAAACAATAGTAGTTGATGAAATGAAATAATCTTCCGCTGGACTATTGATGCGTCGCAACAAAATAAATGCTTTTATAGCATTGCATCCTTACCGCAAAGTTGCGGTTAAACCTATTTATCATATGCATTTGTTAATGATTTTTGCGTCGATGCAATCATTCTATAATTAAACTGTTTGTCCTTTTGAATGAGTACTATTTCAACAAACACATTCCAGCTCGCAGACATATGTTCAAAAGTGCGATGGAGAAATGTTATGGATTCGAAGAAAGATTTTCGAGTAATGCCGCACGAAATGGATCATCTGAATCGGGTCCATAGCATTTCTTTATGACGTCATAAAATAGCTTGTCACAAAATGAACAGGTCCGCTTCTTTGTCAAAATGACCCTGTGTAAATGGAATAACACTTCTTTTGTGGTACAGTCGAACCTCGATAACTCAACCAACAACTCGAAGACCTCAATAATTAAGACGAAAATTCTGTTCATTCCCTTCCGCTCCATTACGGAAAACTTCTATAAATCGAAATAAAACTTACCTTAACTCGAATTATTTGTCAAATATTTAGATGTATTATTTTACCTCTGCAACTCGAATTTAAAATAGCCAGACCTTTACAAGCCGAAGTTTACCTCTATAAGTCGAATTTTTATTGTCGCTGCCTCTATAATTTGAAGTTGTAGCAATACATATGTGTAACCAGGAGTAAGCCTCCCAGGGCGTCACAGAGAAAAAAAATGAAAAAAGAAAGTTATATGTCACCAATTCTGAGTTCATTTTCAGATGCAAAAAGAATTCTTTTTCTAGAAAGGATTTTTTTACACCTGAAAATGAATTGAGAATTGATGACATAAAACTGAATATACTAATGAATTCTTTTGGACTGTATGCGCTATCTGAGCTGGTATTTTGTTTTATGATTATATTTATTATATGTATGCAATAAATAATTTACTGTCAAATATTGATTTTTTTTCCTTTAAAAGCCATTATAATAGGAAAATTATAAACTCTCGTATAGAGCCTCCGTAAGTCGAATTTTCATTTCACCCAACTAAATCCAACTTTTTTCACTTTTTTTATTTTAACCTTTTTTTACTCGAATTTTGGTAAGTCGAAAATTCTAATTCGAAGGGTTTTTCTCTTCGTTTGAGATTCGAGTTATCGAGGTTTGACAGTATCACAAAGTGACTCGCGATTATCTTGCAACTCATTTCAACCAGCCATGTCTAAGCCTGTAGAATTAACAAAATAGTAACAACTAGAAATAGGACGAGAGAACACAGAATTATTGATAATAAGCATTGCAAAACTCAATTTATTTCAAATTTAATTATTAAAATTTTATATAATTTTAATTATTAAAAATATTTAAGATGTCATATTTTATATTGTGAAAAATTATTGATCAAGTTGTCTTTAAATAAACTTTTGTTATAAAAATATTAAATAAAATTTTGTTATAAAAATATTTGGGAAAAAATATAACATTTTCGAAAAATCTAAATATATTATTATAAAGTACTTTTAAAAGTTCAACATAAAAGTTTTTTATGTTGAACACATATTTGTGTATCTCTTATCATTTTAATATACGTTTTTATCACTGAAATGATTTTTAAAATTGGATTTTATACAAAAATTAAGTTTTATAAAAACTTTCTCTGCAAAGCTTCAAATTAGTTCATTGACAACGCTAACGGGTTTTGCGCACACATAATCAAACCTTTAAGTTACACGCATTACCTATACAGTTTTACCCATAATCTTTTTAACCACTTTTACTCGTTTTCAACTGATTTTGATGAAAAGCAATGGCTCGACCAGTTTTTTCAGCTTATTGCGCGTTATTATGTGACATTAATGTACGTAATATATAGCATAAATAATGTATATCTTAATGTGCGTAATAGTATAAAAAAATATGTATATTTTGTTTTGATCTGTACTACCCAAAAAAAAAAGTTTCGCATATAATTATATATAATTATATGCAAAATATGTCCATATGTTTTTTTCCTTTGTAAAATTATTCTTTAATACAAAATTGATAATAATAAGAAGGAAACATAAAAAATAATTAAAAGAATAATTTTTACATTGTTTTTTTTTACAAAAAATCAAATTTGAAGAAATGAGAAAAATTGTATATAATTATATATGTATATTTTTAATCACTTATATATGATTATAAGATCGGAAGAGCACACGTCTGAACTCCAGTCACTTAG